ATCAACTTTTTAATTTAATAAGTAATTTTTGACTTTACGAAAATTCTACCAAACGAATGATAGGATTTTGTTAGGAATTGGGCCATGAAGATAGGGTTTTGGGTGGGTGGTTGGATTGGGTAGATATATATGTGTATTAATTTAATTTTATTATATAATTATTAAAATTTTAATTTTAATTATTATCTGATTTTTGAAATAAAAACCTATAAATCTGAATTTTGAAATTGAAAGTTGAAAAGTCTGTTATGTTGTAATTTCCACAATTTCATTTTTAATGTCTTCGAGTCAATTATTTTTTGTATATTCATTTTTATATAGAAACTATGACTTGATTACCTTTTTTTCCGCAATGATGACTTGTCGGAAAAAAGGTAAATAGTCAAGAAGAGAAATAAAATTATGTTAATGAAATTAGTGATAAATAAATAAGCAAATAATTTGAGGTGAACTGGTAGATTCTTGCCCTTTTTTTTTTTTCCTGATGGTTTTTAATTTTTGGTTCGTACTTGAGATCAAACCGATTGAATTTTGACAGCATTGACGTTAAAAAAAGGCCCTAGTATAATAACAAGAGCATAGTCTCATACCAATATTTAAGGACACGTCAAAATATTTTACAACCACAAACAGATGTTCAGCCCTTTTTTTTTTTTTTTGTCTTCCAAACAACTATCGTTCAAGTGTTGACATCTTAAAAGTGTTGGACCACGTAAAGCTTATAGTAGAGAGCTGTAGCTTTCAAACTTGGAAAAATAGAAAGAAAGAGAATTTGTTCAACCTTCTAATATGGAAATGATACGGCACGAGTTAGACTACAAATGCTCGTCAGAAAATTTATTGAAGAAGTTTGGGGTGGTTGTGTAAATAATAATGTTATTCATCCCCAGTGGAGTTACAACTTCAGTTTATGTGACTCCAAATGATAAACTAAGTAAAATGTGAATTTAAATTACTTATTTAATTTCACCTATCATTTAATGTCACGTAAACGTCACGTAAACTGCTTGTGTAAAATGTGTCTTATTGGGAGAGAGAGGGAGAGAGGGGTTAATTATAGCACCTAAGTACAAGGTATTAAAGGTGCTGATTGATAAAGGTCGAAAAAGTTATTTTTTCTATCACATTTATTTATGTAATTGGGCTGGGAAACAAGTTTTAACTCACTTATAGCACATATAATTTTGTTTTTGATTTATACAACTTTTGTATTTGAATTACAACATGTAGCAACTAAAAACATATTTGAAATTTCAGTTT